AATATATCGCCAACCGCCATATCCGTTGCCGCGCTGCGAGCTACAGCGGCCTGTAGAAGAAGCGGTTCATGCACACACTCGCACCTACACCTACACACATGCCAGGGGTCCCAGCACAGCAAAGTCGAAACACGCAGCAGCAGCAGTAGCAGCAGTAGCGGCCTTCCCGCGCCCCAAAAAATAATACCCTCGACCACCACCTCTAATCCTCCTCCTCCTCCTCCTCTACAGACTGAGCAACTACAGATACAAAACCAGCTAACCACACATACATACATACAAACATACAGACATACATACATACATACATACATACATACAGACATAATTCACTCAATGATGAGCTCATCACACGAAGTTTCCGGGAGGGAGGCCAGTTCTAAGCAAATATCAATTTAAGAAAAACAAAACGACACTCTGTGTTCTTCTCTTGCGCACCGCACCGCACACAACACGACATCATCATCATCACCACATATACACACAACTCCTACACCCGCCTCCACTCCCCAGTCGCAACCAGGAGAGAAGCACCCGGCCCGGGCGATACAGTACCGGATAACAAACAAGCCTGCACAACAGCACGCAACGCAACAGCAGAAAGGGAAGCTGTGGATGTGGTGGATGCGACGGGAAATGAACCCACTCTTAGCTCTAGATGCACCTTTTCCGCGCCATCGCAGCCACCACCACCGTCGACTGCACACGGCTCCTCCCTTAAGCCCCTCCCGTACTCCGCTGTACACCCAGATTCATAAAACACACATCCGTCGTACACACTGCAGGTAGTCCACGGCTGTAGGAGGTATCGAGGAAGGAAAAGCCTAAAACCCACCATCGGCCACCAGCCAGCCGCAATTCAACGGCCCAATATCACCTGCCCAAGGCCCCCCGACAAAAAAGGAACGGGGGAAATGGCGGAGAGAAACCGTATCGCGATATCCATCTCGCTCTCGCTCTCGCACTCTCGACTGTCTTATCTCTTCCGCCGCAAAAGAGCTTTTCAAAAGCTCGACATGAACCCTTATCGCGCATGTCGCGCCTAGACGGACTCCGGATGCCGTACCGTACGGCGCAATCCCACGCAGACATGATTCGACACACAAATGACCGTACGAACATGCATGAATGCATACACACACAGAACGTATTCCGAGAGAACGATATACGCATGCGCTTACACATGCACACACACATACATACACACATACATACACACACATGCATGAATAGTGCTGCACGTCGCGCTATGCAGTTTGTGAAGGGCACGTCACGGTACGGCATGATACAAGTGGAAAAAGAAAACGACACACAGACACACAGACATACAAACACATACGCGAGTGATAATAATATTGTGTCCGCCAATCCCTAGATCATTCAAGTGGTGACAACGGCGCGAGGACAAAATTGCGTGTGATTACCCGGCTACCAACAGTTGGTAGGGTTGTTGCGAAAAGCTACGGGCATCAACTTGCCTACGAGGGCGACTGACACGCTGGCTCTCGCCGCCCCTTGAATGCTGCTGTTGTTGTATCAGACAGGGATATAGACAGACGAGAATATATAGAATGGATTTCCTTTTTATGGCTCTTTTAGGCTCTCTCTCTCTCTTCAGTTTCTCTCTCTTCAATCTCTCTCACACACACACCACACACCACATACACCGCACGTACATACATACATACAGGGAAAACACACGCAACAAAAAGACATACTGCCTCGTGCATGTAGAGGACATGACACGCCGTGCGAAACAAAAACACATTTATGAAGCTCACCAGCACTGAGAACCCCGGCACGCTTCCCCCCTCCAGGAGTCCGCCCCCCCGGAGGAGGAAAGCAGGGGCCCTGAAACCACCCATTCACCGCAGAAAGAGAAAATGGTGAATGAGAAAATCGCCGTTAAGCTCAACACACCAATAGACGGCGTGGCGGAGATGGAGGAGATGGAGGACCAGGTTGGGGTTTGATTGCCATCAAAACCGTCTAGCAGCACATTGAAACATCCAGTCCCCGCGCGTCGTCCTGATTGGGCCCCCCCCCCGGGGGTAGTTATGTCAAAAAGGATATTTTAATATTTTGCTTTTACTTCGTAACTGCCGTACCAACCAGTTGGTGAACAAAGCAGTCGAAGGAACCCCAATAACAACGCAGCAGCAGCAGCAGCAGCAGCAGCAGCAAAGGTGGTTTAGATTTAGCGAAATTGATTTATTGATTAATAAAGCCATCCATCCATCCACCCACCCACCCACCCCAAGCGGCAACAAAGCGACCGTAACGGCCGCAAAAGCTGGCCCCACACCTCCACCCCCTTCCCTTTATGATCCCCATCTGCGAATATATGCCCGGATCGCATCCGCCTCCTCTTCCTCCTCATCCTTGTATCAGAATGAGTGTGTGTAAGGCAGTGCAACACATCCAGAAAGAAAAAACCGGATCGATTTAAGGTTGTTGCCTCGTGGGATAAGAAGAACACCATAAGAAGCGGGAAGGAGCCATCCACCTCCGAGACCGAAAGGTGGTTGAGAAGCAGCTCTCACTGCTCCCAGCAGGAACCGAACCGGGCGATGCCTGCGCAAGAGAACCACGCTGAGAACCGCCACTTCTCATTATCACCACCACCACCGTCACCGTCACGGTGACCATCCTCCTCCTCCTCACGCACGCTCTATTGTCCGATTGTTTGAGTGTGTTTCCAATGTTTCCCGAATCTAAGTCCGCATTGCTCAATCATCCTCCTCCTCCTCCTCCTCCTTCCCGCCGTAGAGGCGTACGCCGTGCCCCAGGAGGGAGGTATCCAAACCGCTGCGGAACGCGCCCGTCTTCCAAAGTCCGTCAAAAGCCTGTTCGCCCTCTTCACTCTGTCCGTCTATCTGTCCGTAGGTCGTCATCTGCCCGCCCGCCCAGACCACCTACCCTATACCGCCACTACCGGGATTTGAACACCACCAGGACATCCCCCCCCTCCCACGGCCTCCTCCCTCCACAACACATACATACACACGGACACAAAGGACCGCCGGGCGACTGGTAATCAAGCAAAAGGTACGGCCAGGCTAAGCTAATCGAGCCATATCACGGCATGTGACTGTGATTTGGGGAACCCCTCATTATCACCATCACCATCACCATCACCACCACCCACTCCTTTCCTTGCAACAGCCATCCTGGTCGCGAAACTGAACCACACCCCTTCCGACATCCCGACAGAGCTCAGCAGCGCGACATACACTGCCCCGCGCCTGTCTGTCTGTCTGTCTGTCTGTAAGTAGTCGGGGGAATGGAAGTAGGAATAGTAAAAGGTGAAGCTTGGCTATCGAGCCGTGCGCCCTCCCCCCAAAACACACACACACACACCCCACTACCGCGACACTTCCACATCTTGTGCTCTCCCGCTGCAAAGCTGCTGCTGTTGCAGCTGCACGAAACGAGAGAAAAAAAGCAAAGAGCGGAAGCGCGTTGCCTCTGTTACCTAGGGTATTCCACGGCCAAAGTGTGAGGCACGGTGTGAGTTTGTGTTGTTGTAATTGTGCGTGATTGTCGTGTCGATGAGGAGAAAGGATGACGTGTATGAAAAGGTTTAGACGTGTGTGTTTTATTCTTCTTTGCGAGGACACGGCCCCCACCCCCCCCACCCCCAACCCCGTCCCCCCACCCCCCGAACACGACCCCAAACAACTCCGACAGGCACAACCCAACAACTACCCCCATCCTTTTTCAATCCGGAAGCCCCCAAAATACGTCACCATGCACGACAAACTACGAGAGAAAGAAATAAATATCCGCCCCTGCCCCCCAAAAAATAGGGATCCTCCCACCCCCATGATGCAAAGCACCGCAAACAAGCAGCAACTGCTGAATTTGTGTGTGTGTGTGTGTGTGTATGTGTATGTGTGTGTGACGCTCTGCGAGATGCGCAACCACGAGCTGCCGCCGGAATGCCCTACGACATCTCCACATGTACGACATCGCCATCATCACCATCATCTTAACATCACCACGGCGGAGGGTATGTGTGTGGGGGGGGGAATACGAACGAGCACCAACATGCGGACCCCCAATTCGCGATAGCCCATCAAGGACCACCCCCCCCCGCGCCCCTGAGCACTTGCCTACGCGCTCTTGCCTACGTGCACAGCAGCCGACAAATCAACCTCGGCCCGTCACGTGGCCATCACGTAATTCGTAACACGAAGTCTACGCAGCTGCCGTCTTTCCCACCAGACGCAGACCAGATGATTTTCCCCCTATCAGCTCATCAGTACGCTGCCGCAGCCGCCGCAGAAACGGTGCCAAGCAGGGCGCCGCAGGTGGCCGGCGCCACACCGCCGCCGCCGCCGGCGGCGGCTAGACCCGGGTAATACAACCGAAAACTGTTATGCAGCTGCCGAGACCGCACCGCTGCCGTCGTCGCCGCTACAGCCGCCGCTGCTCCCGCATCACAGCTTGACACAGAACTCTCAATGGTACCGCCGGCGCTGCCGCTGCCGCCGCCGCGTATTGGTGTAGCAGCCGCCGCGACCGTCGCGGCACTGCCGCTGCCGCGGCGGCCGCCCATCACCGCCGCAATGCCGGAAGCCGAAGCGGCCGCCGCCAGCCCAAACACACCTGGAAGCGCCGCCGCCGCTGCCGCCTCCGCTGCCGCCGCCGCTGCCGCCGCCGCTGCCGCCGCCGCTGCCGACTCCGTCGTCGTCATCGTCTCAGCGGCGGAAATTGTCCGTACAATTGCTCCGCCAGGCACTGCCGCCCCTGTCCGCCCGGTAATGAGACCCATTGGACCCACCATCACAGAGTCCGGCGAACCGCCGCCGCCATCGCTGCCACAGCCGCTAAAGACTGAGATGCTGCTTTGCGCGTTGGGCAAATTGGTCTTCTTTGTAACTCCAATGGTTGCAATGGGGGCCAGGGCCGGTTGCGGCAATGGCAGCTGCGGCTGCTGCGGTGGCGGCTGTGGTGGCGGCTGCTGCACACCAAGCACTCGTAGCAGCTGCTGACAGCCGTCGGCCGCGTCTTCGTCCCGGGTGGTGGCTAGCAGGTGGTTGAGCAGCGGAACGGCTCCCCAGCTCCTGAGGCTGCGAGCCACAGAGCTCCGAAACGAGCCCAGCCGTACAAGCATGTACAGCACTCCTGTTGGCATCCGGGCGGGACGGATTCTTCAGAGGGAATGCGAATGAGAACGATCTGAGGCCGACTAAAACAAATAGCAGCAGAACGATGAACGCCCGTTTGCCGCTTTTTTCCCTCTCCCGCTTAAAAGAGGTGTTGGCAAGGGCTTAAACTGTACTGGTGTAGTGCTGCAGCTGCAGCTGCTACTGCTGCTGCTGATAATGATCAGGATGGAGCAGGACGTATGCTTCGTCGGAACGTGACACACACACACACACACACATATACACGGTCTTAGTGTTTAAACTCTAAGTTCTTACGGTGATGACTCAGCGCCCCTTGTAGACCCCTCATCGAAACCCTTTCCCCCCTCCCAACCAGCTCATGGCCCGAGGGTCAGACCACCCACCGATGGTCACGAGGCTGCAGTGATTGGTTTGCAGCACTCGCAGCATCGCCAGCAGCGCCGTGTCCTGACACAGCTTGACGCGGGATACCCCGCCCTCCGCCAACACGCTTAGGACGCAGCTCGCGGACCGACTGATGCCGCAGCGCTTGTGGCTCATCAGATGCAACAAAGGCGGAATGCAGCCTGCATAAGATGTTCATTTAGATAAATTAATTATCAGAGGATATATAACAGTGGCGCAAACAGAAAAAGAACTTAAGAATGAGAAATTGAGGAAATGGACATAAGGTGATGGCCAGCTATTCGCAATATTTTTATTTTACTTAATATTTACTTTGGGCGTTCGATAACAACCTAACGAAAAACTCATGGTCACCTCACCCAGCGTAACGAGATATATCATATATAGATTCTAAAAGTTGAACAAAGTGCCGATAACTGAACGGCAGCTGAACATCCCCAACGCCGTTGATACACAAATCAACGCTGCTTTGCTGAAAATGTTCCTTTAACAGATTCTTCTAATTGGATGCACGGACGGAAGGTTATTATGGAGGTGATGGTGGGTCCAACATCAAGCTCACAAGATATCCCATATTGCCCCCTCTTACCTGATGCGTCCAGCAGCCAGTGGAACGCGGAGTGCTCCGACAGGTTCACCAACACGGCCAGAGCGCTCTCCACCACCTCCAAATCGGAGCAATGCGTCAGCAGCGGCGCTAGCTGGAACACAGGGTTGCGCCAGGAGCCACAACACCCCCCGCCGCTGCTGCTGCTGCCGCCGCCGCCCCCGGAAAGACCAGCAGCGCCGCCAGCTGGGGAGGAGCTTACACCGCCGGCGCCGCCGCCGGCGCCAGCGCCAGCAGCGGCTGCGGCTGCTACGGCCACCCCAGAGGCGGCATTCAGCAATTTGAGCACCTTCAATAGAATCGCCGTATCCGCCGCGGGGTGTAGGAGACCGGAAGCCACGGTAAGGAGTCCGGGTTCTAGAAGCTGGAGGCAGCCGGGGTGCGTCCCCTGGAGGTTTGCGTGAGGGATGTGGTCAGGGCGGACGGTGGTGGTGAGCCGGGAAGCGGTTACGATAGCGGCAGCAGAGGCTGCATCGCCGCCGCCGCCGGGCTGCATCGATGGCCGGTGCTGCTGCGTGCCGCTGCAGGTGCTGTGATGCTGACTGCCGGACTGCATCACTGCGAGAGCGCTGCGCGAGGACGGAGGCGCCGCGGCGCTGTAGCTGTGGGTGTTGTGATTATTGCTGAGGATTGCAAAGCAGAGGATGCGACACGCGTGCAGGGCCTCCACGACGATGGTGCTGCCATGACGGCTATTGAGCATGGACAGCAGAACGCCCTTCTTCTTGTGCTGCCAGAGCGCCATCTGTGATAACGATTGGAAATGACGAGCAGTCGGGAAATAAGGTGAATAGGAGTTTATACTATGATTTTTTGTGTTAGCGTCTGGGACCCATGTTTCCTAGCGGAGAATTCCTCTCCAAGGAGAGGAGAGTACAAGAGACGAAGTTTTTCCTGATCAATTTGTTATTTGCTGTATCCGACACTTTATTTCTAGCATCATGACTTAATATTTATTATTTACTGTATAAGCAAAATAATAAAGTCCAGAGACTAGAATTCACATCTGAATCGTCGACTGATGTTATGGTCAAGAAGGTCAGGGTTAATATAATTGGTAGCGTTACCTTGTCCTTGGGATCGTGTTTGCATAGACAACATAGTGTCTCCAGTCCGCTAAGCAGAACTTGCTGGTCCGTGGCCCGGTGCAAGACATCCAGCAGCACGTCCAGCCCACCCAGCTCGTGGCAGGCCCGCCGGTTTGTGCGGTCCAGCAGGAGAAAGCTAAGTGTGTCCAAGCAGCGCACCATACTGTTCGCATGGTTCTCAGCTGCTAAAAGGCTAAGTAGCGGTCCCAGGGCCCCGCTGTTCCTGCGGTAAAAGGGAATAGCCATCGCAACGACGATTGAGATGAGAATATGAAGGGCCGTCACGACCAGCCCGCACAAACCATCGTTTCGGCTTTGGACTTATATGGCATGAGAGCTTACCTGCATGCTGCATCTTTCATGTCCACCCGAGGTGCGGAATTGTACTTGGTCGTCGCTTCCAACAGCACTTGCTTACATAGGGTGATTCGACGGGAATTCTGCTGCAACATACAAATATCAGGTGGAAAAAGGTATCAGGATTTCATTACCAAGAGGCTAAGGTGCTTCATAAACACCAACGCGCACGACGTGGCACAACTGCAGGACCGGATATTTCGCTTGTTTTTTGTATTACCTGTTGTTCCTCAGCATCCTCAAATGTCATGCTAGATGACTCGGTGGCGGCATCACCGCTACAAGTTGAGCGTGCGCGGGTAGGGACGAAAAAAGCACCCGAAGCCTCGCGCTGAAGACCGGCCACTGGGCCAGACAGTAGTTGCTCCATGGCTGGTACCTATGCGAACTGCTTCTCTTTCGGGATTAAAATATTTCGGCTACAAGCCAGGTCTCTGTAAGAAGTTAGAGGTCCACATAGCAGGCCCTGCAGACACAAGGCAAAAGCAGCAGTGACTGCGGGCCGCTAAAATGACGATGGGAGCCTTGGCATAGCAGAATTGTATCAGTCTCCACCCCAAGTGAACTGAGTGCGACGGTGCCGCCTACACTCGTCTTTCCCACACAGTCGAATCCCCGACTATAGCAGATCTTACCAGCGCTTAAGCCCCTTGCTATTCAATATAAGCCTTGAGACGCAAAAAAATTACAGTTTGCGGTCTGCAAACTCTCTCGAGTACCAAAGCGTAAAATTGTAAAGAGTATCGAGCGCCTAATCAAGGAAATCAACAATGCCAACAGGGTGCGCGTTAATGCGATGGCGCACTTTAACCAGAGTGAAGCAGGAGACTACGTATCCCAGTTGGCAGAGTCCAAGTGGCAACCCTTTCACTCGTACAACACGGCAGCGCTTTTTCGCTTTAGCGGGATATCTCGCTCCTTTTTTGCTTCAGTGACATCTCTACAAACTAGTATGGTATTGCAAATAAGCCTTCCTCGACTTGGAGTCAAATGGAATCAAGGTAGCTCCCCCGGCGAGTGGCTGAGCTGGCATCTACCACTGCTATTCCACGCCATGGAATTGGCGTCAGACACAAAAAGCGTACAACCAATGCTATTGGATATCATTTAGCGCCAATATATGGAAAGTGCTTCCTGGCATCGATGTTTGCTAGTTGCAAGCTTGTATCGCTACCGAAAGCCTGACGTCAGCTCCTCGCACGCAACCGCCCGCATGGACAGCATTTTTCAGGCCTATTTGAAATTATAATAACTGTTCTGCTGCCTTCGCTGGCTTTTACCACAGAAAAGCACTCATGGCCTGGTGCATCCGCGGACCGCGCGACAAGAGCGGGCTAACTATGAGCCTGTACCACATAACAAAGCACAAATTCATTGGCCAATCGCTTCCATTCTGATCACAAGGGATTCGACGGCCACACAGTTGGTGGGGTTGACCATGTCCGAAGCCTTCAAGAGCCAGTGCGAGCCACGTTTTCGTGAAAACATTCTATAATACTGGAGACCAATACTGGAGACCAACAGCAGCAAAACCACGGCCAGAGCAGCTTTTCGACAGCTTCAAAAGACCCATCACAACGACAAAAGAAACACCGGGACCGCGAGCCAAGCACCACCGATCGATCGCAAAATGTTTACTCACCGTGAGCTCCTGCTTGATTTCAATATTAGCATTAATTTGTGCGCCATTTCGCTAGCAACCAAACCGTCGTCATCCATGCCTGAAACAGTAGGCGGTTTCCCTTCTCCTGACATTTCAGCCGTGTAGGCAAAACGAACCAGGAACAAAGCCAGACCGACAACCCGTCATTACCCTTATGGTTGGTTAATTATGTTGTCGTGTTTAGCTACTGCGACCTACTACCCTGTATGAGCTACTACTACTACTACTACTACTACTACTACTACTACTACTACTACTACTACTACTACTACTACTACTACTACTCCCGTCATACAACGTTGTACCTGATGAGCCCTCCTGGGTTTTTTAAGCTAGGAGCTCACCACTAGTTGATTGAGTGCGTCTGTCAGCATAGATAGGGCTCAACCATCCATTAGGACAATGCATTTGCATGGGCCGACTGCCTGCGTGTCGTTTCAAAAGTTGCAAAGTAGGACGGTGAAGATAGCTTGCGGGGTACGCGCGCGGGCGATCAGGCCAACGACACAACCGACCAAATCGGAAAGCGACGACCACACGCGCGATATTGATAGCAGTCTCCAAAAAGGTGCCTTCCCCAAGCAGCTGCAGCAGCTGCTGCAGCAGCATTTGGTGGCTCCCTGTGATGAAGAATCGTTTTGGAATAGCGCATTCTGCACTGTCCGTTGTGCCAAGTAAAGTCTGCTCTCAGGCTGATGATGTCCCCGTTCACTTCTTGTAGATGGGGTTTTTCTGGGGAAACCAATCCACTCCATCCCTCCATGCCGTTGCACGTGCGCTTTGGCGAGATGGTTGAAACGTTTTGGCCAGCTCTATCCCAAGGAATAGATCTGTGTGGCCACACACAGTTAAATCGACATTCTTTTTTCCCAGGTAGCGTAGGTAGGTGGGTAGGGCCGAAACATCCCCTCAATTATTCCACCGAGAATTCTTTAAAAGAAATCCTTTTCCGTAAAAAAATTATCTATGTTCAAGTGTTTAGGAAAGGCACTGTACTGTACGAGGGGCGGAGCCGACGAGAGGTGAGCCGGGGAGGAGGGATGGCAAGTACGGTTGGATTGAGTTGGTAGGGTGGTCGCCAGGATTGGGATAGATCAACCGGGGATTGAGATAGACTGACGGGGGGATTGAGATTGACTGTGGAGGGATTGAGATTGAGACCGAGGTGGATTGAGATCGGGTTACCGTTGGATTGAGAGTGTAGTACCGTTGGATTGAGATAGACGCTACCGTTGGATTGAGATTGCCTTGGGCCTGGATTGGGATTGATACCCCGGAGGATAGGGATAGAAAGGCTGTAAGGCTGTACATATGCTTGTGTTACCCGCTGCACTCCTTTACCACGTCGGTGGTGCCGTTATCTAACCAAAAACGGTATCCGTGACATCTGTGACGCAACCTTTCCTCGACTGTTACACGTCGCACAGCTTTCGCAACGTTCGCTTAACATGCTTGGCACCAAGCGCTCTGTCCCACCGTATGCATGCTCGCGTATGCATGCTCGGAAACCATGCAGAAGAAGAACAACAGCCTGCCGTCCGCTTGACATCCCGTCATATGTACATAACACTAACTTGCACACCCAGAAAATGTCCAATGGGACTGCTTCCACAGGCTGCCGCAAATAATCATAACAAAACACCTATCTTCCTGTACATGCTCCTGTACACGCACGCTCTGAAACTAGCCCATGAGTGTCGTACACACCACACCGCTGTACCGACACAAGTGCGCTCTTCTATTGGGTAAACCCAAACGACTGGTGGCGCGTAATGTACAGATTCCCGCTCGGAATTAAAACCCGCATTTCAGCGGGGCGAGTTCTGGTGTGCCCACGCGTTGGCACCAGCAATCGAACCTATGTCACCAAAAATCCGGACAAACTTGTCCACATTGGTACCCAAATACACTACCACACTTCCGTGTGGATTTTGTACACGGCTGCCCCATTTCAACTCCGACTCCTCTCCCACGGATGTGTGCTGTGGCTGCACAAATGCAAGCCGCTCCCACAGGAAGCAAACTGGCCATTCCAACACTGCCCTAAACCACTTGTACCCGACAGCGGCCTTCAGCAGGACCACCGCCTGTTTGACAGCCCCTTGTCGATACTCTTTCACACACCGTTCGAAGAACAAGTTCTGCATGCTTAGCACACCCCTCGAACCGAAAGGAGGGTTGACGAAAACGTTCCCCTCCCACCTACATGCCTCACTGAGGCCATCCAAAGCCACATCAAAAAAGCGCCCGGCCTTAACTCTAGTGTTTGCCGCCTCCGAGCTGCACGGGTCCAGGTCAATTCCCCCCGGCCCAAACATCTCTGCGACTTTATCTAGGATGCACTGTGGAGTGTACCACTCTACCGATGCACTCTGCAAAAAGATAGGCCGGCTACCCGCCGGGACTGCATCTTCATCGTGGCCGTTAGCCCTTGACACAGCGGTAACAGGCGCGACAACATCGGCCATGCCACTCTCGTCCTCACTATCACTCTGTGCGACAGTGCTGGCTGTTCCCACCTCCTGGATGCACGACACCACGAGCTCAGCAGTCATGCGCCGTCCCTCCTCGTTATGATACCTTAAGACACGTTCCCAGGCCAGCCTTGCCACGCCTGGTTCGCATCGTGTCAATGGCCGGACCAGCCGTTCATACTGTGGCACAGGCATGGATCGGCCTATAGCCACCTGCAGTCGACGCGAACCTGGCATCGGCCACATCGGCCGGGACGTCAGGCCCCCGTGCTCGCTTCTTGTCTCGTCCTTTGCCACTACCACCACTTGATGTACCAGCGGCGGCAGGCCCCACCTCCGCCAGTTCCATCGACCGTGCTCGCCTCTTGCCCAGCATTTTATCACTACCGCCAACAGCCACGCCAGCCCCCGCCCCCGCACTCGCATCGGCCTCCGCTGAGTACCAACCACTCGCCGCACTTGACAGCTTGCGGGGAAAAGGGTTGGGTGGTGGCACGGGTGGCAGTACGCCTAGGTTACAGGCCTCGCACCAGATGAGCCCCGGTACCGCCTGGTCGCTGGACCCGCCTGCCTCTGCTGCATACACGATGGATCCATCCTTGTTGGCATTGACGGAGATGACACTGAATACACGCTGGTCCAGCGGCGGTGGCTCGTCAGCATTGACAGGGTACTTGTGCACCAGCGCCAAGTTCACGCAATTCTCCCCGCCGTTCATCGTTTGGTCAAGGCCCTCCTGAGGGTCGAGGAAAAGAAACTCACTACAGTCAGAAGATACAGCGAAAGGCAGCAAGCATGACCAAGTAACTGTGTGCCGAACAAGGAATCTCTTGCCCCCCAAAAGCATGCGCTCCGTTGTGGAAGTACTGCTGAGCTCACACGTTGCTGCAGATGGGTGGCCCTATCGTGGTCAAATTCGTGGCCGCCAACTTCAACGGCCCACATCTTCGAACCATCCAGAGGAGTCGCGCCAGTCAGGCGTACTTCCGGGTTGGGCCTGCACATGACGATGCCAACATCAAAGGAGTGGGTTTGGGTCTGCGCGCAAAGGGAGAAACCGCGAGGCAATCGATGCCATCCGACAGTCTAGCTATCATCTAGGTCCCGGGTGCTCAGCCGGGGTAGCGCTCGTGCATCTGGATGAGTGGGTGGTGGGATGGGAGTGCTCCCTTTCCCTAGCGACTGGGTGTTTCAGCCTCATGTTTCTGATACACCTGCTGTGGCCGCCACAGGTACTCGGCGTGTTGACGGAGTTTAACCAGCACGCACTGCCCCTGGTGATCAGTGAAGACGCGAGTGCACTTTCACCGCGGCTTGACTGCCTCGTTCGATGCAACGTCGCCGTTTGTACGTGAGAGTGGCGGGGCGCTGACGGCATGCATGGCAGGCTACATGGGTTGGGGCAACAACGCGCCCCCTCGCAGCATGATCTAGGCGTTGTGCATTCGGAGATTGTGCGTGTGTGCCGTTGTTCAATGCGGCCCTTTAGTGTCGTACGATGCTTGTAGAATGAACCGCCTGCCTACCTGTACACTTTTGTCGCCGTTTGTGCCGTAACGTGAATAAGGAGGGGCGTCGGGGACTGTGCGCTGACGGCATGCGCGACTAGCTTCGCGGGTTGGGGCAACAACGCGGGCCCCCCCCCCCCCCGCAGCATGATTGTTGTGCATTCGTAGGGTGTGTGTGTGCGCGCCGTTGTTCGGAACGGTACGGGGCCAGATAAGTCGATGCGGCCCTTTAGTGTCGTACGATGCTTGTAGAATGAACCGCCTGCCAACCTGCCTGTGTTAAAATGGATACCCTGCTTGCAAAATGCTCGACTTTGCCCAGTCTATGAGATAATAATATGCGCTAAACGACTTGGAGGCAACCTTCAGCTGGTCAGCTTGACGTGGGAGGGTTTGGGATAGAAACCTCAAAGGGATTGAGATTGACCACGAGGGGATTGAGATTGCCCTATGAGGGGATTGAGATTGCCTCACGGGGGGATTGAGATAGACCAACAGGGGATTGAGATTGACACAACAGGGGATTGAGATTGACACAACAGGGGATTGAGATTGACACAACAGGGGATTGAGATTGACACAACAGGGGATTGAGATTGAGACCCCTTGGATTGAGTTTACACTTTCGGATTGAGACCAAGGGGTGGTTAGGATTGAGGCCAGTTGCCTACCCTCCTGCCGGGGCGAATGGTGCGCTTCAAATCGGATTGTCCCACAAATCAGGTCAGTTCTTGGTTTTGCGCCATCCAGCATATTTTCCCTCCCCCGCTTCTCCCACGAAGTTGGATACTAGCGCCGCTGGGGAAACTAAGGCGTGAGGTGCTGTCCAGATTTTATTCCAAGGAGGCCATACAATCTTAAATTCCCTAAACCTTCTAAAATTTCTCTTAAATTTTCTAGTTACATATGCTTCCTAAATTTCAAAACATTTCCTAAGTTTCCCTATATATATATTTCCGATTTCCGATTTCGAGATGGATCATCAAAGCACATTAATGCCCTTCAAGATGGGATAAGCCCCTGTACTAAAGCCACAGTACCGACGCCTCCAGTGTTGCCGTACGATTGTATGTGCAAGACGGGGCAATATTTAAAATAGGCTCTCCCGAAACAGGTGACAGCAGATTGTGTAACAATGATAGCAGGGGCCGACGCACATACCAAAATTCGTTTTCTATCCAGTAACGAACAGTCGTTGGACGAGCAATGACCTAGGAAGGCTAGACACTAGAGTCGAATATTCTTGGACTCGCGAGGCCATGAATGTACAGCACGCAATATCGCGACGGCGGCAACACGACCTTTCTGCGTTCGCTGCCCTCCGTGCCGCCGCAAGAAACCCCCCGACACAATCCCCCCGACCCCCACCATCGTCATGATAACCCCCCTTAGCCGTTATCGCCACCACCACCACATCACCACCACCATAAATTTACCATTACCAATACCAGCAGCACCTCCACCAATCACTCATCCCCCATTAACCATCAACACAATCCCAACGGTCAACTACCAACCGTTAATACTTCTCCTTACGCGATTACAACGACTAAGCTAATGACATTGCAGTACCCGCCGAGCAAAACCATTATGGCGCACCTAAACCATCATCATCACACATCCACACAGGCAACCATGTCCTCGAATGCAGTGTACCACAAAACCGAGCAACGAACCTTACCGTAACGCCATAGGGTCCCTGCCGTACTAACCGACTGCGGCATCACGTGTTATATTTCGTGGCATTTACCAACGGAACCAACCAATTCAAACCACCACCCGGAGGGCTCCTGAAGGCGCTCAAACAGCAGCCCGGGTCAAAATGCCGCCAAGTCGCCGAGATGAAACGCGGCTGTCGATCGCGCCCTTGCCTTCAAACCGCACATTCGCAAGATCGTGCTCACGCAGCGGGAACGTTGAAGTACGCTACCAAGTCTGAAGGACGATAAAGACTTTCGAGAAGATATGCAAATAGCCAAAGACCATGCACCATGTACACATACTCTACACACATTCGTTAGCATGCCAAATCGCTGAAAGCTTCTTGGTGCCAGTAAATCCAAACGCCCCGACGGCATAAGCCCCAGTCAGCAAATCGGTTTCAAATTTACCACATGCAATGGTCGTACAGCTGTACGGCTGCGCGCTAGAACTAACTTCAGCATCCCAAACACATCAATCAATGGCTGCGGTGGTATCGACCTCTTCTTGTTCCGAAAGGTGCGAAATGCAAGGCAAGGCGGTATACGCCGTGTAAGACACGGAGCCGCCGTACACACACCTAACCCCCCCACACACACGGGGTTCCTTCCGTACAGCCGAACCTCCGTACAGCCGAGGCCCATAGGTTGCAGCATCAGCCTCCGTCATTCTTCGAATGGTACTTTAACGGTCTTGCTCACCATGCCGCGTATTCCACGTGCAAGGATGGACGTACGGATGGATGGACGTACGGATAGATGGACGTACGGATGAAGGTACGTACGGATGGATGGACGTATGGATAGATGGACGTACGGATGAAGGTACGTACGGATGGATGGACGTACGGATAGATGGACGTACGGATGAAGGTACGTACGGATGGATGGACGTACGGATGAAAGAAGAAACGTCATGCATGCATGCATGCCTATATAGTACTCTAGGCCGCCATCAATCTGCCTCTCTCCAATATTATCCACGTTTACTCGACCGCCTTTGTGGTGTACCGGCTTCACGAGATCAGTAAACCCACCTCAAATGTATGTATGTATGTATATATATATATATATATGTTGTTACAGGGTGGTTAACTTCGCCAGCGGCCCCCTTTCCCGGGGCAGTCCCTGCTCTCCCCTGCTAGAGGGGCACCCTAATCCGTCACCCCATCCGACTTCAGAATGTATTCGTTGGGTTCGGCAACTCACCACCAGCATCCAACTAAATCTAGCGGATCAACGGCGCATCAACTTAGTTCCTGGTCAGCTCGCAAGTTGATATTATCACGTCCTACACCGTCCATAAGATGGGGGGCCACCTCCCATTTCATCACTCCTCAAACACCCGAGGAGCCGGCAGGCGGATTTGAACCCGCATATATATCCGCATCTGTACATCCCGTCTAATCACCCCCCTTCTACTCGCCTTCTGTAACCCTCAACCGAATCACACAACCGCCGACCAACCCACCAATCAACCCACCAAGCATTACGTGCCAAAATGGCACTCCGTTACCCCCTTTTCCCCCACAAACCCGACATACATACGCAGAGCCATGGGCATCAATCCGAGCGCCGCCACCTTGCAAGAGCAGTTGCTAGGAGGGGAGATTCAAGTACGGAAACTAATAACTACTACGATCGTATGCAGCGATAAATATCAAAAATAGATATTATGCCCTAAGAAGAAAATGAGGAGTCTTCCGTACAGCTGGAACCCAGATTGAGAAGCGAAATGAATAAATGGGGGGTGGGAAGTCTCCGCTGGGGATCCCTGCGAGCTTTTTCGTGCAGCGAGAGCCGCGGGTGGCGCGTGAAGCGCTGCTGCAAGTTTAGGATTAGGAGGGATACACGCGCCAGCACACCACAGCACACCACAGCACGACTGCCAGAAATCCACACCACTACCCACAACGGAAAAGAAACCCAATGCCCGTACATCATGCCCCCATCTCCTCACATGGGTAATAATTGTGCGTCAAGATGTCACGCGGGTCGCCCCTCCCCCCCGCGTCCATTTGGCACCAACGGGTGGGGAGGCACCTGTGGCGAAACAACGATCCGAAGCCCGTCACAGGAATGAAGTTCATCGGAACGGAGACCAACATGGCCACAGCTATAGCTACAGCTATAGCTACAGCTACAGCACGACAGATCAGTGGCGTTATTCGGCGTTATTTTTCCATAAACCACTGCAACCCAGGCAAAATGCTACATCGTACGGTGTCGTACCGTACCTGCATCCCTATGTAGTAGATCGCGCAGGTATAATCCTCATTGAATGCGATTCCGTCGGACACCGGAATGGAGTAGGGGGAGTAGGCACCGACGACAACTAACTCTCCAAGCCATTACAACCGCATTTCGAAACACGCCTGACATAAAACAGCACAGGGGGATGAGATGTCGTAGAGCTCGGACGCGTGGGGGAGTGGGGGGAAAGACGAACCACAAACTAGTGAAGGGGGAGTGGGGGGGCGATAAGGAGATGAAAGCATCGGTGGACGGCCTCCCAGACTCTTCTTTCTTCTCCCCACACTTCCCTCGCCTCCTCCTCCGCTCCCCCCTCCTCCCCCCGCCCAAACTTCGCTCGCTCGTGCTTCGTCTTCTCCCCCCCCCACACCCACACCCATACACGCACAAGGGGCGCGGGGCGAAAGGGAAAGAGAGCGTTACGCGAACAGCAAAGCGTCCGACCCTAAGTATTTCAGCCCAGGGCGCATATATCCCCTCCCCCCCTTCTTTTCCACCCACGCTCATCCATGCGCGTGCTTTGAGCCCGGCTGCAATCTTCCTTCCTTCCTGGTCTCTTAGGCGATTTAAGAGCTCTTTCCAATAGCTTACTCGGCGGCATCCGCACTGCCAAAGCCATTCAAAAGGCAAAAAAACAGGCAGCACCCCAAACAGCACCCAGGCTGCACCAGGCCCCGACCAGCACCCCAACATCACACCACATCTTAAGAGCGATTCGAAAAATGAAACGCAACTCACAAAATGGAATCCCGCGACACAAAACAAGATTACTCTGAGGTCCGGATAAAGGTGCTGCTCTGAAGGCGCTTTAGCTTAGGCTTAGGCTTTAAATGCAGCACCTTAAGCTGGGCTGGGCTGGGCTGGGCTGGGCCCAGCCATGGCAGGGGGCAACTCCTTCATAGGCTGCTGGTCAAGAGGCGATTGCGGCACCGGTGGTTGCGGAGGAGGGGCACGGGAATGGGTGGTGGGGCCCGGGGCCGGACAGGAATGGGAAAGGGCCACATCTCATAATCCGGAGGACTCCAGGCCAGCAGGGGCCCCATCAGGCTGCTGAAATGGCGCCAACAGGACACCTGAACGTCCAAGCCAGCTGAACGTAGGGCCTACTTTGGGTTTGCCGTAGTACGGCATGACCGGAATGGCACACGGATGTGCTGGCGGGCGTGACGTAGTACGGCATGTACGGAAAAGAAGGACGCGGGAGCCTTCGCAGCAGGGGTAAATATACAGAAGGGGTAGCAGGGGATGGATGTGGAGGCAATGTGGACGTACGTGCGTGCGTACGACGGCGCTCAGAAGTTGTCCAAGAATGTGAAGAAGAGCCGCAGCTGCGGCTGTTTAGGAAAAATTCACAGCTGCTGCCATTGCAACTGCGGCTGATGTTGATATATTGCTGCTGCTGCTGCTGCTGCTGTTGCTACCTTCTTACGACTCCGGAAACCTCCGAGCCGGGCCGCGGCTGCCCTGTGCCTGCGGGAACATCGGCCGGTTGGCGGGGACCGTTATGAGGGCAGTTGTGAGACAGTTGGTCGTTGGGGTCGTTCAGCATCCGTCCTCCAAGCAACTACCTGCGGGGACCCGCATCCGCCGCAATTTGAATTGTAATAGTAATGCAATACGCGGTGTGATTATGATCTGTGAACGGGGCTTCTACCGCTCTACTTTAACTCTATTCCTTTCACCAAATTGTACGAACCCTAATAAGGACATGTATACACACACACGCCGTTTTTTTCAACCGACTACCAGAAAAATAAAAAATTAAAAACACTGCAAAGCAACAAACGGCAATCCCACAACCTGCCGCTCTATAGAAACGTGAGATGGCGACTGTTCGACAGAGCGTTTGTCGATTTTCCAGAAGAATTATTTATTTTTCTGTTCACTCTCCCCCGACACCACCGGCAGCCACCGGGGAGGCGCGCGAAATGCAGAAACTCCAAATCACAACCGTGCATCAAGTTAAAACGTTAAACGCCCAACGAACAAAAACTGACGACGACGGCGACGCCGTTGAATTCCATTCAAAGTCATTGCGGAATCAACACACTTACACACATACACACACACAGAGGGGGCCCACGACTTCGCTCAGTCGCAGCGATTCGCAAATACCACTTATTGGCCACAGAGGAAACCTCACGGCCCACCTTGGCGCCGCCGCCGCCGCCGCCGCTGCCGCCGCCGCCGCCGCCGCCATCGTGTTGTTTCTGGTGCTGCTGGTGTTGTGTCTCGTAAAGACGGACCTTCTCCTGCAGGACCCGAATGAGCGCGTCTTGCTCGTCAACCTTCGCTTGCAGCGCTGCGATGGTTTCCTGTTAGTGGCGGTTGTGGCGGTTGTTGGGCGGTTGTGACATTTGTTCTAATCGTGCTCCAGGTGGCTTTAAGGTCTACCCGGGGCTTCGTAAGCATCACACGGGTGGATAAAACAATGATACTGTTAAAAACCGTTAGTAGTGATAGTAATAATAATAATGATAGTAATATGATAATAATATAAAAAAAAACAATATTATTATTACTATTATCAGTATATTATTATTTTCCTTATTATATTATATTGTAATATAATATAATATAATATAATATAATATAATATAATATAATATAATATAATATAATATAATATAATATAATATAACATAATATAATATAATATAATATAATATAATATAATATAATATAATATAATATAATATAATAATAACATTATTATTATTTTAATGTGGAAAACCAGAACAACACACAAGCTGCTGCTGCCGACACGACCCAAAGAAATCAGCAATATGTCTACCAGGTCTGTCTACACACGACCCGACATGCATGACCGCGTACGAGACCGGGGCCGTGCCCACCTACCGGGCCGGCTAACCCCGCTCCACGGCTCTACTCAGGTCCCTACCCTACCCTACTCTACCCTACCCAACCCGCCCCATCAGAACCCCCGGAAGGAGCTCCTGCTGCGATAACAATCCCTTGGCCGTACAATTGTCGTACCCGTTGGCGGTTGCGGAAACGCTGTTGCGCCACACGATTTCGCGCCCGGCTGTCTTCCTGCGGAAAATGTGTGTCGTATTCGCATCCGGACGTTATGTTAGTTAGTTTACAGTACATAACGGTGTACGTGTACGGAGAGAGCGGAGAGCGGCTAGGCGCGCAGCTGACGGTAGCAGCTGCGGGTGTATATATATATATATATATATATATACATATATACATATATATACATATATATACATACATATATACATATATACATATATACATATACATATATACATATACATATTATGTATGTATGTATGTACGTATGCACACATGAAATTGAATTCCACATAAATTGCCAAATCGCACCTTTTGTTCGGTAACTGCCCGGGCCAGGCTCATCTCCACAGTGTACACGAGATCTTGGAGCTCCTCCTTCTCCAGTTTGATCTTGCCAGTTGCTGCACCTGCACGTGCGATAGGATGTGCGGGGAAGATATCAAAACAATACTCGCACATCGCACACACAGATTCACATAACAAAATATATAATTAGTATACAAGCATCATACATAAAGCATACAAGCATAATTACATCTCTTATCGCATGCGGATCCCTCCTCCTCCACCTCCTCCGTGAAACCCTCCGTAAAACCACGAAAAAAATCTGAAGCCCTGCCACATAAATCCAATGACAACGCAAAATAAAAAACAAACGCTGGCCACCGGGACATCGGGGTCAGGATTGGCATCCAGAACCCCAAAACAAATCGCCGTGACGCCCTGCGCTGCGTCACTGGTTTCGGCGCCACCTTATCAATCGTCCAAACGTCCCAAACGTCAATTAGGGCCTTCCTGGGAAAGGCTGAGGTGCCTAACAGCATCGCCAAACCCCCCTCAGCAATATGAATAAAGACAAGAACAATATGAATAAAAACACATCCGCGGCCAGTCGGCCGACCGGCCCTTCAAAAACCGACAGACGAGCAGGAAGACGAGCATGTACGAACAAATGTACGAGCACATGTACGAGCACATGTACGAGCACAAAATCACATAACTCATAGCGACATGTCCCAGACGCCCTCCAACGGCCACATCCTCTCAATCCTCCCTCCTTTCTCACTTTTGGCCAGCTCGGCGATGGGGCCTAATTTAGCCACCGCCTTGGGCACCCGACCCGGCCGGTTCCGAAAGCGCATAGCCAGAAGCTGAAGCCCGTCGTCACCGCCGCCGTCCATCGCGCTGTCGCCTGGCGCAGACCTCCCGTCGTTGATACTACTGCTAGTGTGTTGGCAACCCCCAGCGGCAGCGGCGGCGGCGGCGGCGCTGCCGCTGCCCTTTCCTGTCCTATTACCGCCGTCGCCGCCGATTGCGTGACCGTCGCCGCCGTCACTTGCCATTGCAGCTGCCGCCGTATCACCGCCGTTACCAGTCCCTGTCGTCGTCGTCGTCGCCGTCGCCGCGGCCACTGCCGCCGACTACCCCGCACCCGCACCCGCGCCAGCGCCGGCGCCGTCAGCGCTGACGGACATGTCGCAACCTGCCGCCGCCATGAGCGCGCCGTCGATGGCGGCACACATCGACGACCCCGACGATGCTGATTGTAGGGTCCCGCCACTGCCCCCACCGCTGCCGCTGCCGTTACCGCCACCTCCGCGCCCGCCGCCGTCGCAGTGGGCGTCCTGCTCCATGTCGAGTTGCATGCTACCCTCCGCCGCTGTCCCGACGGCACCCTCCGAAATCATCTCCAACTTCCGTACGTCCGCCACAGCAGGTCCGCATGCAGGCCCCTGCTCCCCGCCGGCCGCCGCCGCCGCCGCCATCCCACGTCCCCCAGGCCCCACCGCATGCGAATGTGAGTGCGAATGTGCATGTAGCCCCAGCAACCCGCCATACGGCGAAGCAGCAGCAGGGCCAGTGGATGAGGGTGAAGGATTGGGGAAGCCACAGACACTGCGATCCGTGGCGTTGAGAGATGGTGGTGGTAGTGGTGGTGGTGGCGGCGGCGGCGGCGGCGGCGGCAGACCTCCGGAGATGTCCCCGTGTCTGGAGGGGATGTAAGGCCCGGAGGGCGTGTCGGAGAGGACGCTGGCGCCGGTGCCAGTGCTGGCGGCTGATAGGAGCCCCAGCCCAGTGCTGCCCCCGATGAGGCGACCGCCTGAGGGCCAATCACTGAGGCCGGTGCTGGCGGGAGATGGAAAGGCGTGGGAGTGTGGGTGAGGCTGATTAAAGTGAACGTAATGGCCCAGGGTCCGGCTGCCGTTGCCGCCACCGCTGCTGCTGCTGGCGAGATTGTTGTGAGGCACGGCACGACTGGGTTGGAGGCAGGAAAGCTGGTGCGAGGCGTTAAGGTCGTTGGTGTCGTTGGTTGGTTCAAAGTTGCAGTTGCTGGGGTTTACGAGGCGGTAGGTCATGGCGGTGTGGTTCTCGCCGCCTGGTGGCAAAACTGTTGTGGTGGCCAATGATGGTAGACGGGACGGCCAAAGCCGAGCTTCGGCTGGTGCTGCACGGTTGTCGGATGCGAGGCTGAAGCCGTCAGCAATAGCTTCATCTCCATGTTGATAGTTGTGTAGCGGGATGTTGCCCGCAGTTGGTCGTTCATTAAGCAACCAGCGCGCGACAAATGGCGTTTGCTTCTGAAAGGATGATACCTCCTCGAAACAAGGATATGCGACAGAGGAATGTTCTTTTAGAGGAGCCATGGACAGGGGACCATTATTGCCGGGCGACAGCGCGGAAGCCGAGGGCAGAAACGCACATGGAGCCGACACAGTACGCGCCAGACCTCCAAAAAGAGCTCCTGAATGGAGGCTCTGCTGCTGGTGCCAACCAGGAAGGGCGTTGTAAAGTTCCTCTAACTCAGCGTCGGTGCTCGTTCCCGGCAGCTGGACCGCAGTTTGGTCGCCCATGACAACATCTTGCAATCCGCCCGGTACGAGTATGCCGGCAATGCGCCCTCGGCCGCCGATTGCATCTGAAATGGACGCCCCGGTATGTGAAGGGCGAGCGACAGAGCTTCAGAAAAAACTAAGAAAATATTCCATCGAAAACAAAACGGCTTACCATTACCGGTTAATGGATGTTGACTTCCTAGCTCCATGTTAGCGTGTCTGGACGAGCCTCGCTATTCAGCGGAAAATCAAAAGTGTCTAGCCGCATAAGGGGTATAAACGCATACCCGTGTTCACTTTGCCGTTACCAAATAACGGCATGAAGACTCCAGCGAGCTGTTCCAGCTGTTGTCCGTTGCCCTGGGCTTTGGGTACGGATTTACGAGACAATGTCCACAAAAATCCTAGTCCATCCTGCTATTAAAGATTCAGCACAATTATTAATCATATCATTACATAAGATAAATAAAAGCCAGGACAAAAATAGGTTTTCCAGAGTCCTGTAACCGTGATTATATGCACCAATTGCTATGCAAAATCAATATAATCTACTTAAACCCTACTACTCAATCTGAGTGTTTCTCAAGGGGGCACTTGCAGCTGGACTACGGCAATAGTACAGTAGGCATATGATGGAAGTGCGGCCGCCGATATCTCAATCAACACCTTTTAGGACTGGGCTGTGTCTCATCTTCTTCGGTTTTGACCTTGACGCATCAGATATGCACGCTCGTCGAAATGTAACGGTTTGCGGCCAGTCTTCGATCCCCCATCTAATAAAAATTCATTAAACTTTTCTAAAATTGAATTCCGGATGATATTCGCCGCTTAGGTGGAGGTGGTAGGTGCTCCTGCCGAGGTAATAATCAACGTTTCGCGGTTCCCCAGCAAGCAAATGCCGCAAATCAGATCTCATACGCATCTTCACAAATCAACATTGTAGATGTATAATTGCCCATTGGTCCATACGTGCGCAGCCTCTGTGTGGATGTTACGGTGACGACCAGTACAATTCTAGGGGCCGAAACTGCGGCCTGGCCTCCACTAAGAGACCTTTACTGAACAGCATTGCGTTCTAAAGGAAACAAAATTCAGCGCTCCTGTAATACTCAGCGTCGCTAACACGCTAATACCGGTATATGTTGTTGTGTGCGGCGCGACAGAGAGTGTGACCATCACCAGGCCCGAACGAATTGCCAGGACCTGACAGTTCGGAAAATGCATGCAGAAACAGGCTTGAATTTCTATCGGGAAGAAAACGACGCGTTGTGTGGAACGCAGCGGACGAGCTTTTCCCATACATTTATATAAACATCTTAGTTCAAGGCATCTGCTCGCGCGATTCCCTTCACAATGTGATGAAATATGGGTAAGGTGCTCGTACGGAATAAACCTGAGGCCGCAGCTTTGACTTTGCACAAGACACGCATGTTTTGTGCCATTTGTGCCATCATTAGGCCCTTCAATTAACCTTTCATGATATTCTACTACTGTAAAACTTCTTCATTACTTATTTGCCAACACATAGAAAACATTCACACAGCTGCAATTTGGCGCAGCTTCAAAATAATAGCTAACCAACTAACAACTGCTACAGAGGAGTGCAGCCATCGCGGGCACAACATCGGCCCTCATGTCGCTTGCGCCTCAGCACGTATATACATATGTTCCATTCGCTCTGCATCAAAATGAACATCACATTGCTCCGCCTAAGCAGCACCCGCTTTACACCGCCAGCATGTGCATCTCTCTATACATATAACCCGACCTCGCGCCAAAGGGAATTTATGCTGCCCTCATCTCGCCTCACCGCACCTTATGGTCCTCGAGTCATAATATACCTCCTCTCAACTAACAGTCTCATCAACTGTCTTGCTAACCGCTCGTTAACTGCCTCACTAACCGCCTCACTACCCACTCTAAAACCTCTAAGCGGCAACACGCCACAATCAGCATTAAAGCTAGTCCCTCGTCCCCCAACCCCTATTGAACCGCTATGACGACTTTCACCTCTCACTTCCCTAAGACAGGGAGCCCCTCATGCAGCAGCAAGGCAACCCCCGACCAATAAAATTGCCCTCGCGATTTCCCAAAGCCCTTCAAGTCATTACTTAAGTGCCGCCTTCCCTACTACGACTAGCCAACCATAACCCTTTTTCTCACCTGGTCAGATCGCCTATCACCTAAAACAGCAGCAGCAGCAGCAGCAGCCACAAGATCGCCACCCATGACTGAAATGATTTGCTAGGTAAACAGCTAATACCTAACCCGCGAGCTCCCGCAGCCACCGCCACCGTCTCGCCGTCACCTGCAGCGCTCCCCATGTCGCCCGTGGCCCTCACCCCAACGGCCTGGATTAGCCAAACAGGCACATGTCGCAATGCAAGCCTGTATACCTGACAATAAATAAGCACCTAGGCAGGTAGGCAGGCAGGTAGGCAAGCAGGCAGGCAGGTAGGCACGGGATTTTCGAAGCCACGCCACAATCATTGCGTGTGTTCGCAGCTCCTTGCTCATAACAATTGCAACTCCCCGTGTGGCGGGCGGGCGAAGTTCTCAGGTGCCACGTGAGGAGGGAACACCGAACCCGGCCATGCCGTCACAAAAGCCAAACTAAGTTCAGATGCCGCTAAGTGTAGTGGTCGGCGCCAGCTCTGGGGCTCAGTTCATGCGGTTGCGGTGTCGGGCTGGTCTGTCACTGGGTTTGAGTTCGAACAGTTGCATGTCCCCGTAATTGGAGACAGTTCCCTCCGATGGCGCCTCGTATGCCGTGTTGAACGTTAGGGGCACCCGCCTGCGGAGAGGTAGGTGGGGGTGGGGATGGTAGGATCGGATAGGATGGTAGGATAGAATGGTAGGATAGGATGGTAGGATAGGATGGTAGGATAGGATGGTAGGATGGGATGGTAGGATGGGATGGTAGGATAGGATGGTAGGATAGGATGGTAGGATGGGATGGTAGGATGGGATGGTAGGATGGGATGGTAGGATAGAATGGTAGGATAAGATGGGGGTATGGGCTGGATAGAGACAACAGCATCATGGATAGCTCTCATACCACACCTCATACCACACCTCATACCGCAGCAATTGGGGGACCCACCGGGAGCTATACACATTCCGGCGGTTCCTGCTCCGACGTTGAAGGTACCAGATTACAACCGCCACAACCGCCAACGCAACGAGGCCGCCTATCACCCCACCGGCGATGGCACCCCCAGACCCGCCGCTGCGGCCGCCGCCGCTGCGGTCTGCGGTCGCCGCGGTCTGCGGGGATACCTGGGGTACCGTAGGCTGCATGTGACCAACGTCGGAGCCGTCAGAGCCCCCCGGGTGGCTGGCATCTTGCCCACCGGTGGCCTCTATGCCGGTGCCGTTGCTGGGAGGTTTGTCCGTGTTGCTTGTACCGTTGCTGGGCCCAGGTGGCAGCTGCACGGGCGGTGGGGATTGACCCGCGGGGCGGCCACCGGTGTCGACGCTGACGCTGGCGTCGGCGCTGGGGCTTGGAGGCAGTCGACGAACGACGGGAGGCCGTGGCGGCAGGGGCGGCGGGGGTCGCGGGGGCCCCGGGCGCTTGGGCGGCCGCGGGATGGTCACGTTTTGGAAAGAGGAGATGTTAATGCGCTGTCCGAGCCGAGTCTGTGGGCATAGGACGAGAGAGGAGAACGGCGATATAAAAGGAAAAAATGGATGTGATGAGGCATATGGGTAATGGGCATATGGGTGATGGGTATAATAAGAAATGCGTCGGGAGGAAGGCGCCGAGAACAAAGGACTGGGAGGGCCTGGACGTGCAATGGAGGGATGCGCTGCGGGCCCGTTGAGGGTGACATCGCAGCTGCGCGTCAAGGCCTTCAAGTCAGGCATGACCTTACGGAAACACCCCTCCAAGTCGGAGTTTCTTCCTCAAGACGGAAGAAAATGTCCCCCGGAAATCTTTTCAAGTCGGATTATGTTCGAAAACGGATGGCAACAAAAGATTCTTGTACGATTGATACGAGCTTGTACGATCCAGACATCCTCACATGTCGTCGGGCCCATGAGTGGACCGATGTAACGGAAACGAAGCTGCACGGTTGCGATAAGCTCTACGGGTTGTGGTGCCCCTCAAAAAAACCTTGGGGGATTTCCTCAATTTAAATAGTCCGCCGGACGGTAGCCCGGACGGCAGCGCATGAAAGATCACGTCATCATTGGGGCGTAACCCTGGTGACGTGGATAGAACGTACCAAGCAAGTCAAGTCGTACAGCTCCTGCAGTTCGGCGAGGTAAAATACATCCGGCGGGAAGTCCGTGTTGGGCGAAGGGCACGTGAGACCGCCCGGGGGGTTTTGTGGCTGTAGCACTAGCGACAGCGGGACGTAGTCGTACGGTGAGGCCCAGTACAGTCCAGATAGCAGGGACAGCAACTTGAGAGGGAAAGTTGAGTTGATCAAGTTGTACGAGACGTCAAACAACGGTTGCGGAGGTAGGCTGGCCTGCAAGGCGGACAAGGGGGAGCAAAATCCTTTTATGTGAGAATAGGAGAGTTGCTTGATGCTGGATAAAGATCGGTAAAAACATCTCTCTCGGGAACGGGGTGGCCAATTTACGGCATACGAGCGTTGATTGAACACTTTTTGTAGCGAGGACAAAAACCGTAGGGGCAAGACATCATCTTGCTCGTTATACCGTAATAGTGTTTAATTGTGCAATTCCCCCTTTGAAAGCTCTGGAAAGGAGCGCGAGAAGGCGAATCAGCCGTAAACTCATGAGGCTCTAGAGGCTGCTTGAACGATGCTGCTTGGGTAATTATGTGAGCTGAAGATGCAGTAAACAGGAAATGAAAACGAATTGAGAGTCGCGCTATCCGGCGTGCTGTTTACAGACGGAATGCGACATAGGGACACCGGGGACATCCTTAGCATACAGCTAACATTTCACACTTATGGCGGCAAGCTTTATTTATTTTTATGCGCTTTGCTGGAAAAGTACCTATGCTGACCCTTTGGAAGTACCGACTCCAACCGCCGGACACTATTAACTTCCTAAGCAGACTTGCGCAGCAACCACACGACTCAATAGAGCGGTCTTTCGGTAACGCGTTGCTCGGTGGCTCCTTGAAAAACCCGGGGTTTATGATGTACGATGAATTGCGGCAACGACTGGGTCCTGCAAAACCACATAGCAGGCAGCGCGGAAGACCCCTTGCGCCCATTACTTTTGTGGGTTTTTTCATATGTTGCAAAGCCCTATCCGGTTCATGGGTCGATTTATTTTGCGGTCTACAGGTCGCTACAAACTGATATGTTATAAAAATTTGCCTTATAAAGTACACATGTTGACGGAACTATGATCTCCCTCCCGAACGCTCACCCAGGGCATAAAGTAGCGGAAAACAAGCAAGCTGTATTTTGCGCGCAGAAAAGGAGATTTCTTGGCAGCCAGGCTGAGACACCTGTTGCCAACCCGCAGATCCATGGTTCACGAGCCCAAGCCCGTCGAATCCCCAGTTCCTTGCCCGCTAAGTTGGATAAAATCATCGTTATGGTGGTTCTCAAAAAATATCGCAGGGTGCGTCAACGCATCTCATACACATGCGTTACAAGTCGTAAAGTCCTAAGAAAATCGTAAGCCGCAAGGGCCGCACGGCCGCAAGGGCCGTACGACCGCAAGTCGCAAGCATGCGAGCGCTTTTTACAACGCATCCGCACTTTCTTTTGAGGACCGCCCAGCATAAAACCAACCCAGCAGCCCCCTTTGCTTGCTTCGCGGACTATGAATGAATCCTGTGCAGAGCAGTACAACACTCACTCGCCAAACTCTCTGCTGCTCTGTTTGCTGCTTGCACGTGATTTCCAACACCTACTGCTACCGCCCCGTTCCTCAACCAAATTTTGGCCCTATCAAGCTCTTGTGGAATCATCTTGACCAAGATTTCATCATGAAATGTCATGAAACCGCGCTCCATGCACGAGATTGTCGAGATTGTCGCTCATTTCCGAGTCCGACCCAAAAAAATGCTCAAACACAACGTCGTTTTTGCGCACCCAACCTGCAAAAACACATATACCCATCAAAAACCTGCCATACCCTTCCAAACCCGCATTCCCGCCCCAACACACCCAATCCCAATCCCACCCAAACCCACCTCCGGTGCTTCGTCATCTTGCACCGCGTTGGACAGCAACTGATTGAACAACTGCATACGACCCAACTGTTCGGTTAACCTGCCGTACATATTGTTGTGCGATACGTTGAAATACAGAATGGAGCTGTTGACAGGTACCTTGCTGCCGAGCACCTGCGCAAAACGAGGAAATGATGGATTGGAGAAGATAAACCACAGCCGAACAGATTAGGGGGAAGCTAACCATGCGCCAGCGCGACGCCGGCACCCCCCCCAAAACAAAAAAACCCATAGCACTAAATCGACGTGAGAATTGAAGGGCCGAAGGCAGACAACGTTACCTGCACGTCCATGGAGAGGTTGTTGACCGCCAAATTGACTTTGACCAGGGTTGACCTGTTTAGCAGGTCGCCAACGTCTGCACAGTAAGGGAGGGGCACCAAACGGGGATCCACCCATAAAAAAACAGGAATTCGAAGTCGAAGTCGAAGTCGAAGGCATGCGTGTTGTGTGTGTGCTATAGTAATAGGTATTACAGCGAGCCCTTGCGCCCAAGGGAATAAACCCTAGGGTCGGGCCCGGGGGTGTGCGTGTGTGAGGGGGAGAGGTTGGATGGCCCAAACGGGATTGTGTGTGGAATACTTAGTAAACAATTGTGTACATGTGTGTGTGCGTGTACATGTGTGTACATGTGTGTGTATGTGCGTGCGTTACACCTCCCGGAATTTAAACGTAAAACTCCGTAGTAGGCATATCGGGCCCGGGCACGAAGGGCTGTAGATCCCGGATGGCGCCGACAAAACGCAAAAATGAATCTAAAGACTATTATTCTATAACTCACCACGGGTAAAAAGAGAAGATAATGTATGTATGTATGTATGTATGTATGTATTAATACGTACAATGCACAACCATATGTCCGTATACATTCGTCCGCATGTAGCGCGTGGCGCTGCTCCTGAATTCCAACACCCCCACAGCGGGTCTTAAAGGCGAACGAATCACGTCACAAAATGCCTCAAACCACACGCAAACCCCCTTTCGGCACTGACGAAGAAAAACGTCATCCTGAGCCCCTCCCGCTTCCGTTGTAATCGTGTGTCTGTCTGTGTGTCTGTCTGTCTGTCTGTCTGTCTGTCTGTCTGTGTGTACATCTAGGAACACCCTAGGACCTTTCCCGACCCGCCCACCCACCCTGCCCAGTGAAGCCATTCTCGCTGAGGTCCAGGTCCAGCAGAAAGGGCGACCAGGAGGAGCTGGGGAGAGCCCCACTTAGGCGGTTGCCGGCCAGCCGCAGCACCGTCAGCAACGGACTGCCAGTCACGCCTAGACGGACGAGCAAGAGGAGGAGCAGGAAGGAATACACGGGGGTAGTGCAGGAATACACGACACGATCTCTGCGCTGGCGGACGTTTGTTTTTGCTGTCTTTGTTTAATAGCCGTTTTATATCCGTCCTGCATGGCGATAGGGCTAGACTGGGGCTGGAGGACTATATGAATTGTGCCACCATGTCCTCTCCCTTTTCCTTCCCCAAGCCTCCCCTCCCCATGTTTAGCCGACCAGTCAACGCGCCGTGTCCCGAGCCGGGCTCGAACACAGCACCTGGATGGAAAAATCCGGGATAAAAAAACAAACCAAAACGTCCAGGGAAAACGTCCCGGGAAGAACCAAAAGAAACCACAACCAGGACCTAAGAAACCAATCAGGACCTAAGAAACTCACGGGGCGCTAAGGTGCCCGTCAGCTGGTTTCTTGAGAGGTCTAGCACACGCAAGTCGGCGCTGGTCCCTAGGGCGACGGGAAGTGGGCCCCTCAGGTTGTTGTAGGCGGCCTGGAAG